CCATGGATGCTGAATATTGGTTCAGTGGTAACATTCTCCCTTGGGAGCAGAAGATTGATCGTTCAAATTCAGTCTAGATATCCAAGTACATAATCTGTGCTAAGAATACAGTACAAAGGGAATACTGTACTTCATGGTTGAAGCATGGTTGACGTTTGGACAAAATATTGAAGTTACATTGCTACCTGCCCTCTTACATGCTTGTAAAAGAACGCAGGGCACTATTCAGAGCAAAGGAGTTCAATCTGATATCTTAGCCAGCATTTATCCCTCAACCTTGATGTATGAAAAGTGGCTACCATGTTTCCGAAGTACTTGTTGTGACTGTGTTTCTTTCCCCACGACAAGATGGATTAGGAGGCTTCATGCCTTAGTTTGCATGTTTCAAAAAAATAGTCAGGAAGTAAGTAAAGGAAAATGCAGGGAGAAAACCATAAATACACGACTTTAATTCTCATATTATTGTTGCACTAATCTTAAAAGAATTCTCCCACTGGAGTAATGCGCAGTCAGAAAAACCATGAAATCAAAGTGAATCCTAATGATGGGGGATGGTGACATCTCTGAATGTGAAGTCTCATGGATCAAGTGTCAAGTGTCAGGTATGTTCGGATAGTTGGAGCCATGCTTATGGGTAGATTTGATTTTTATTTACATCATACAAAATGCTACCTTTAGGGGTGCATCATGAGTGATGTAACTTGAAAACTTCCCCTTGTTGAAATGTGATGGCAAAAATTTCATTTTGATGTAATGTAACAATAAACTGCAATGGTAGAAAGAAATATTCTGTGCATTATCATCAATAAATTACAAAAGTAGAGCGGAAGACAGAAAATCATTAAGAATAAATTCAGCATGATAATGCTGGTAGACTATTACATGGTGATGCAACATCTTCACCTCATGGAATGCTGGCACAAGGTGTGTTGAGAATGGATCACTGCTAGTGATCAGGAAAAACAACTTAGCTGAGAGTTCTGAGGTCGATTGAAAAACCCAAACTGTCAGCGTGCTCAGATCAGCTAACTCAGCACAGAGCAGTAATGAAAGCTGGCATCTCCGTTTCCATATGTTAACATGCACATTTTAAAATCTGAGCTACTAGAGAAGTTCGTTTTTTTTTTAAAAGAAAAAGCTCCACAGATACTATAAGAACATATGAGTATTTTGATCATCTTTATATTTTCAGTGTGAAGTCTATTGTGACTTTATTTTTATGCAGATTTTGTTTTAACACTAAAACAAAAGTTTACTAAGCAAAGGAAATTAAGACAAATCATAAATCTATTTATTTATAACACAAATTCCAAGCATTTTAAACACAGTAAAAGAACAGTCCTGGTTCAGAAATTTCTAACAGAAACTTGGTGGTGCAATTGTCTACTTTGCTAGGTCATAAAATCCTAAAGTAAACAAAAACCCATTAGGCTGCCAAAGTAGCCCTCAAGCTGTTTTAAAAGAAATCACCACAACTGTTTTAAAATAAATACTCACAAAGCTAATTATTAACTTAAGACACAAAACACCCGTGTTGCTTACACGTAATTCAAAATCCAAATTTAAGATAAATATTAAAATATATATATAAATCAGACAGTTAATATCACAATATACAAATCCTGGATTAGACCATATGTGAAGTACGATGCAAAGACCTGGACACCAGACCCTGGGAAGAATATACTAGCTCGGAAGGGAATACAGGATAGATTGATCAGAATGGTAGCCAGTACTACTCTGGTAAACTGCAGAAGAGAGTACATTTAAATTGGATTTGATCCCATCTTGATGAGTTGTCAAAAGTTGGGCTCTGTGCCCGTTACAGGTTAAACAATTCTGTGGTTGCTGAGGACATACAGGTTTTCTGGAAGTACATCTGAATATACAAATACAAATCACCTGCAACTATGCCTTTTTTGCTTTCTCACACTGCTTTATTTGCTTAAGGATTTTACATGTCATGACATAGGAATGATAGTCAAGTCTAAAACTACCAATATTATTGCTGCACACCTGTTCTGCAGGTTGAGCTCCTTTACTAAACTATGAATAATCAGATTCTTTTAGAAAATTATAAGATAGGATAATTTTTATGTATTGAATGTTACTAAATGGAGGCTAAACATTTTTTTAGAAAAAAGAAATTGATTTCAAACTTAGTTTGAAACACACTGCCAACTACTTAGTAAAATGCCAGGTGAGAGTCAGAGAAGGTGACAAAACTACTGATTCTAATCTGTTCTCATGTCTAAAATTTCCCAATTGCTAGTCTACCCTCCGTTAACCTCTTGCTTGACCAAATGCACCAGATACTTGTTTTCCTAAGGGCTATCCATTAAAGCATCACATAATTTTAAGTCTGCTAAATTTAATCTTCCTGCTGCCTAGATGATACAATCCCAATACTGCTTCTGTACCATTGCACCTAGGGACAAGCAGGAGGTATGGATCCTAATGTGACTGAGCTAATCGTGTGAATCAATTTCTAAACCTACTAAGTTTAAAGTAAAGAGGCCCAAACTCTCAGTACCAATTATCTGATCTTGAACAGGACATGTGTAATTTAAAACCTAGTACACCTGCTAAGACAGTTGTCTCATGCCTTAAATGTGGTTACTATTCCAATAAGTTGGCTTGTACTTGGGGAGGCAGTGTTAAAGTCATTGGACTCACAATCCAGAGGCCCAAACTTATGTGCTGATTATAGGTTCAAACTCTATTATTGCTAATGATGACATTTGAACACAATAAATCTGGAATTAAAAGCTAGTATAATAGGTAGAACATAACTAAACCTACCACAGTAATAATCTATCCAGTTCACTAATGCTCTTCCAAAGGAAATCCACCATCCTTGCCTCGTGCAGACTAATATTATAGCTTCAGATTCACAGAAACATGGTTGAACTCTTAACTGTTTTCAAATGGCCTTGACAGCCAATAAGTTCAATGCCATTTAGGGATGGGCAATGAATGATGGCCCTACCAGCAATGTCCACGTCATGTGAGAAAAAATGTGCTTTGACTTTTTTTTGGTTTAACCAGGATTGCAAATCGACAGCTTTGAGCAAGGTTTGACAATAATCGGTTTAGCATAGAGACTGCAACAAGCCCGCTAATCTTCATCATCATGGTTTCAGTTCCATAACAAACTTTAATTAATTAAAATAATCCAGCAAAAAACACTGCTTTTTTTCACTTTGCTAAAAAGAAGCCCAAAGTTTACTTCTTGACCTAAAGTTTAAAATCTCTGCCATAGAATTAAAAACTGGGAATCGGAACAGTACCAACGTACATTCATGCTCAGCTACCTCAGCTAAACGGTCATTGCCTTCTTAGCCAAGATTGCCTCAGCATTAGCAAGGGTGTCTCCTCAAACCAGATTTGGTCAGGTTCAGCAGATCAGCAGTCATCCACTATTATGCTATGGATGAGGTGAACCTGGTTATCAAGGGAGTGGTTGTTTTAAGGCAGTGAGTTTCAGGCCTGCAATGGCAGCAAGCGATGAGCAGAAGATTTGTAGAAAGTGCATTAGGAAACCAGAAAGGGTACTGTGGGATAGGGAAGAAGAGTACTGTTGATAGAGATGAAGGCAGGATGGAGAAAAGCAGAGAATCAATAGATGAAGGAAATCCAAGGAGTACAATAGCACATTAAGTTCACAACTAATTATATGGGGAGACTGCTTGTAAAGTATCCTCATCAGTATGTGCAAGCACTAATGCGAAAAATTATTTTAAAATGCTGTTAGTAGCACTAATTTAATGCAAACATACAGGCAGACATACAAAGGGGCAAGCTGGTAGAGTGTGAATGCAATTTTCAGTTTAAGGGACCTAAAATAGGAGGAAAGTGATTTAAGATAAGGAGTATGTTTTTTTTCAAAAAGAAAGAAAAGCTAAATAAACATTTAACAAGAATGAAATTTATCAAATTGCAATACATCTACTCCCTTTTTGGAAAATAGAGAATGCAATGTGGACAAGAGACATCTGTCCCATCAGCTTTGGGAACACCTTGGTTCTGGTGATGAAGGAATTTCTGCCAGCAGCCATTTATCCTGTGCTTCTCATAGGATCTATTTTGATAATTTGATTGTACTCAATGGTGCAGGGTTTGGTCTGCCCATGATAACTTGGCATATATGTGGCTTAATCAGCATTTCTTGGAATTTTTTGTAAGTTGCCACAAAGAAGTATTTTTCCTCCAAAAGAAACAATACTTAATCAATCAACGGGAACACTGTTCCTCCTCCGAGCTCTTTAACACTAATTGTTGCTGTTGCTGGTTCTGTTCTAATCAGAAATAACTACACTCCGTTCTAACATTAGCAACTTCTCCAGCAATTAAAGACAACCACGGTAAAGTTTTATCTGCACAGTTTGAATGCATGAAACTCTACTTCTCCTAATTTCACAGGCAGGTATGTGCTTTATAATTGTGGCTAATTACTTTCACTGCTCAGTGTGGCATAACTGGGATGAACTATTAAAATATCCATACAGGAAACAGAAATATAAACTCCCCAAAAAAAAAAACACACCTATCAACTGGAGTTATTTACAGATCCTAATGCAGCTAACATTTGTTAAACTCAGTGAAAGGCCAGGTGCTCCTAAAACACGCCTAAAATGGTTTGCGTGTTTGACATTTTCACAATTGAAAATGCTGTATTAGAAAAGGAAATTTGGAAAATAAACCAAGAAATATATACGAAAATTCCCAAATTAGTTAAATCTTACCATCATAATTTTATAACTACAGTCTTCTGGACAGTGAATGATGGTCCATTAGTTCTTAAGCTACTTCACTGAGTTACATACACTTCTCTCTCAATAAGCTGCACAATGTTAAAATATATAGTCTTTTTGAAACAGTACAGAGAACAGTAATTCAAAAGGTTTTTATATTGAACGTTTATACTGGCTACCTTCCAATTAATTGCAAAATGACAGTATTTCATTGATTTCTTCCATATATCAATGTTTTCACCTCACCTGGACAGTTTGCACAGTATAAATTTTTTTCAAGTTGGATTCGCACTCTGCTGCAGTTGTTCCCGGAACTGACCTAAAAACAAACACAAGTAAAACTAACTCTGGTGTCTCTACTCAGAAAATTGTGTTGTAGTTAATAGGAGTTTAACATTTCGAATTCATGTCATACATTTTAATCAACAAACAGCTAGTATGAACTCAGGGGATGTAGGCTCTGGTCCAGCAACATGCTACCTAGCTGACCTTTCTTTCCAGTCCAAATCAAATTCAGTTCCCTGAGAAACTTAACCCGGTCGTTAAAATTAATTTCCACTTTAGCTTTATGATGTACAAATAAAATACAAAAACTAAATGTAGCTAATACTATAAATACAAAAATGTCCAGTCCTGCAATACAAAGTTTTGACACTGGAGGATGCTATACTACTTAGATAGCTCAGATGAAGTCTCATAACAAAAGCTTTATTGTGAAGGTTTTGCATCATGACTTCCGGTTCATGTATAACTGGAGCTAAAAAAAAAGCTAAGATTAAACAATGTTTGACGTTCTTCATGGTTAGCTACAAACAGGATTCAAGCTTCAAATTACGCAATACATTATTTGATGGGAGGAGCTACTTACAATTCTTGAATCACAGAATTACTGAACTGTTAGTACAATACAACCATTCAGCCCATCAGGTCTGCACCTGTTTGCTAAACAAGCATTTCATTTCATGCCATTCTCCTGCCTTCTCTCCATAAGTCTGCATATTGTTCCTGTTCAAACAGCAGCTCAAGTCCTTTTTGAATATCGCTACAAGGAAACAAACAGTTGGAGCTTTTCGTCTTGCACTCAGCAGGGCTAGGATGCAAGAAGCAGACTTGAAAAAAGAGACAACTTACGCAGCGTGAGAAAATGGTGTTGATCATTTGGAACTTCATTAACAAAGACGTAGCAAGAACAGTTAACTCTCAATCTTTAGTTCTCTGACTAAGCCAGCAGGCTTTGGTCAAGATGTTGCCATGGAAATGCAGAGATTATATTCCTTATGACCAGTGTATAATTTCTTTATGCTTACATAAAACAGGGTCCTGCGTATTAGTATGCAGCTTCAAGCACAAGCAAATGCATCACACTGCAAGCCCAACTAATGATCTTAAATTTATTTCCAGTGTAATTTTTAGCACAGTATGGATTATTTAATAAGTTAGTTCCAATATCAGAATCACATGCCTTGCAAATGCCCTGACTGAAACCGCCTTTACCACAGATTCAGTTACTGCATTCCAGATTCTGACTGTGCTCTGTTTGAAAAAGTTCTCTCTCATACCCTTTTTGCCTCTTTTACTTGTTTCTTTGTATCTGTGCGCTCGTTTTCAACCGTTTCATGAAAGGGAACGGTTTCTCCCTATCTATCCAAAAAAAAGGTCAAATCTATCAATATAGGGTTAACGTGGGTATTTCGTGGATGACACTGAAACAGATGAAAAGCAATAGGTTAGGAAATCAAACCAGATAAGCAGCTGTCTCCTTTGACAAGCTAATGACTATACAGTGGGGCAGTGAAGCTGCTTGATCAATGTATGAATTTGTTGATTTTTAATTAAACTAGATTTGAGAAGAATCTGGTAATATTAGTCTCTCAGCCAAATTCCAAGAATGCAGTACTCAACTTCAGTTTTAATCTGAAAATTTATAAATGGTCTTTCATTTCTCAAATTGTTTCAGTATGTTTTAATATGGTACAATCTGATTCAAGGATCAGCACAGATGCATCGAAGAATGCAAAGTTTTAACAGAAGGATACAGCAAAGTCAAAGCTTGAAGTTATGAGCAAATAAAGAAAAATACTAAGGCAACCTCAATATGGAGCATAGGAATAAATTACAGTACTCTGCTAGCAGAGATTAAGAGGGCCGTTATTTTTGTGGGACAGACTTGGTAAAGCATTGCAATCAATAATTGAACCAAATTATAATTCTTTTCTTCTCACCACCTAATGATTGAATGAACAGACAGGTTGCAAGCTGGAAAAACCAGCAGTGAAGAACACAACACAGAACTCTTGGGGACAATCCCTAGGAATCGGGAAGGTGCCACAGATAGGCACCAGCAGCAGAAGCAATTGAGGAGAAGTTCAAACGTGCTCTGCCATTCAATGGGATCATGGCTGATTTCATGTTGGCCTCATCTCTACTTTTCTGTCCGCTCTCCATTATCCTTCCACCCATTATTCATTAAAAATATATGTCTCCTTAAATTTACCCAATGTCTCAGTGTCCATTGCCCTCTGGGGTAGTGAATTCCACAGATTTGTGGCCCTTTGGGAGAAGCAATTTTTCATCTGTTTTAAATCTGTCACCTTTACCCTAAGACTATGAACTCTCGGTCTAGATTACCACACGAAAAAACATCTTTTCTAGGTCAACTCCCTTTAGCATCTTATATTTCCAATTAGATCTCCTCACTCTTCTAAACTCCAGATAGCATAGACCCAAACTACTCCATCACTCGGGATAAGCCAAATCCCATATTGCTGGGATCAATCTCGTGAATCTCCTCTGAACTGCCTCCAATACAACTACATTAGTCCTTGGATAAAAAGGGACCAAAATTGTACACTAATGCTTAATATGGTTGCAAGCAGCATTCCCTACTTTTTCACTCCTTTAGCAATAAGTGCCATGGTGGCAGCAATAATTTTCAGATTTTACAGTCTAAAATGCCATCGTCCATACTGTGTGTAAAGCTAAATACTGTGATTCATACATCTGATCTTCAAAGCCCATGCTGGAGACTTGAATCCTTAGACAGGGTTGTCATTGAGGGAACATTACATTGACAGATGTATATTTTTTTTAAAACACTGATTGTGGACTAAAGTGGAAACAAGAAACTTTTCAGAGCCAAGGACTAGGAAAAGAAATGCTGCATACTTTAAAAAATAATTACTGGAACTCACTGCGAGAGTCAAGTTCATAATGTTGCTATACAAGCAGCGGCTAAGGGAGATACAAGAAAGCACAGTACAAAGGATGCCTGTGCAAAATAGATTGCTCATTAGTTTGTGCAATTAGGTCCAGTTGTGAATGCCAGAGGTTATCAGCTTGAGAAACAATGATTGGTTCTTGAGCAGCTGAACAGCTGGTGCATGTTCAGAAGGAATCTGCAGTTCATATAAGTGATAGAATAGATTCTCACTCAATATGGCTTATAAAAGGGACCTGACAAAACAAACAATGTGGTTGCCAGAAGCTTTCACTAACTGGAGGGATTGTGGGTTCTCATTAAAGCTGATAACTTTGTAATTTCAGTCCTTGAAACAGTGCAGAAGAAGGGAGCAGTGATCAATAGATTTTTGTTTTAAAACGGAGCAATGAGACTAACGAAAACTGAACCTGGAATAGCCCGTGAAACAGCATTTCAAGATCTAAACAAAGTTCTCAGTACAGTGGTAGTGGCCCTACTTCTCGGCCAGAAGGTCTGGGTTCAAATCTAAATTGCTCCAGAGATATCTATAATATATCTTTATGCATTGAGGATGTTAAAAAGGATGATACCAGTTAGTGTACCACACCAGTGTTAATATTTGGATGTTTTTGACAGAGTTCAGGTTCTAAAACGATTGAGCTCAATTTTAAGAGCTGAAGGCTACAGGGTTCACAATTGGAAAAAGGAGATATATAAACAGAAATTGCTAGAAAATCTCAGCAGGTCTGGCAGTATCTGAGGAGAGAAATCAGAGTTAACATTTCGGGTCCAGTGACCCTTCTTCAGAACTGATAGTAGCTAGGAAAACTTTTTTTTTTGTGCAGAAGCTAGGGCGGAGTGAGAGAAAATAAAATGCTGTTCTTCCAGCTTATGCAGAGCCTCGGCACAGCAGTGCAGCAGACAAATACAGTCTCATGCAAGTTCAGGACAATGTGATCTCTCTAGGTTTGATTGTTACTTGCTTTGAGGCTGTACCGCAAGTCAACTTTGGCCATTAGCTGCTACTTGATCCCCACCATGCCATGTTCCTGAGCCTGTATACTCAACTTTCTCATCCTGGACACACAATCAAGGACAGAAAATATGTAAATCATATACAATTAACCATCCTATTTTAAACACGTCCATCGAAATTACAAAAAAAAGTTGCATTTCAGCTCGAGTCAGACTGAATTTGTGAAGAAACACAGACCACTTGATAGCAGGTTCAAGCAATTTCCAGAATGCTTAGGAAGTGATAATTAATAAACTAAGATAACACGGTGTAGAGCTGGATGAACACAGCAGGCCAAGGAGCATCAGAGGAGCAGGAAAGCTGACATTTCGGGTTGAGACCCTTCTTCAGAAATTAATAAACTAAATTCAGAAAGTCTTACTCCTGTACACAGCACAGATTAAAATCTGGCAATATTTCTTCAATTACAAGTTGTTTGTTTCAGAACTCAGTTTAAACTTTTACTGCAACACAAACGAGAAGCTACAAATTGAATGGACCGAATCAAAATGACACTAGGTGGCAGTAGACCTCTACTGCTGAGCAGGCATTACACATTGCTAAATGCCTGTTTCACACAATGACTTTGATGTATGACTATCACAATGCAATGTGCAACATCAAGCTGGGAAGGGGCACGATAATATTTAAATACTTAAAAATATTTAAGGACAGGCTTTGAGCAGTTATTATAGAAGGATTAGAAATCCCATTTGCAGCTAGACAGTTGAAGTCTTTGACTAGCATTTCCCTAAGCAATAAAATCAAATATGAAAAGAACCAGTCCAATAATTGGTCAGGGTTCCCCTAATTACTCAGCTAGCTAAAGCAGTGAGTACAGAGGACTGAGCTCGGGAAATTTAATCCTCTGCATACTTCAAGTTAGCTGTTCATTGCCTGGGCACTGCAACTGTTTCCAGTCTGCTGAAGTCCTCACCTTTGACTGTTTATCAATTATCAGCATTTAAAGCGGGGATGAAAGACTGCATTGACCCAGATGCCATTAAAACTTGTTCCGATGGCGTAAGTGGATGAGAGTAGTGGCATGGCATTCTTTGGCAAGCAACAGTGGTTGCAAAATACTTGCAGGCAACTTTGGGATTGA